AAGCAACTGCAACATAGCATCCTGCCCGGGGTAGAAATAAAACCACAAGCAAGGATTGCCAAATAACTTCCAGCATGTGGTTTTAAATAACTTCTAATTGCTTTAAGCAGCTCTAATTGAATAAATCACCCTCTGGCTAAGTACTGCTATTTAATTAGAAAAGGTAGAGCGAGTCTAAAAGAAATCTAAAGGGCCCAATTATGAACTATACTCATTATAAAATTAGCCATACCTTAAAATTTATTTGTTTGTTTGATAAAAGCAATGCTCAAAAGTCTTTGTTGACCACCGACCCCTGCTGGCCATAAGATGTAGCAGTGTGCTTAGCTCGATGTCTAAGGGTTTTGGGCTCAGAAGTCTACTCAGTGTTTTCTTTAAAAAAACAAATTGTGAGGGCTGACACAGAATGACAACAGTGAGGCTAACGGACAAATAACAATAATTTGCCCGTGAAATTAAATGCCAAATAGACAGGTAGCAAATACTGAAACCAAGGCTTTCTGCTTCTGTAGAACCTCAATTTCGTACAGCGGAAGAAAAAAAAAGGCAAATGGCCCTTCTGTCTTCACCAGCCGACTCATTTCTCCTACTCCCTTAGTCAATGCTAACCAGCTCAACTCACCCCTTAAAAAGTACCAATTGTAAAATTTTGTTTCATACGTGTGTGTGTGTGTGTGTGTACATGTGCAGAGATGTAAACCTCCATTTTACTGCCATCTTTTTTCCCTTCCGCTTCCCCATGGTTTCCTTAACCCAGACCTCTTACATTTGAATTTTCTATTTAATTGCATTGATTTTTTTTTCTCCCTCCCTCCCTCACATGCATGCACCATCCTGGACCAACCCACGCTTTTTCACCTTCCTCCCATGGCCTCCATCTGTTTTTCCCTCCCCTCCTACAAGCCACAACAGGCATAATTTAGCCTCCGCAACCCACAAATATGCTGTGAAATCCAAATGAAAGTGGGTGTGTGCGTTAAGGACCCAGAAAGGTGCACCAAGCAGGCAAAGAATAACCGCTGTTCTGGGAAACAGTTCTTAAAAATATCAATCAATCTATGGGGGGGGGGGGAGAGATCGCATAGTGAGCCCCATGGCAGTCTTCTGAAAGCTCCTATATGTTCACAGATGTCACACTAGAGACTGCAACATCCAGAACAATGCAGAAACACAGAGGCATTCTTCAACAGAGATTGAATTACAAGTGCATTTGAGGCAAAAGGCTATTTGGAAAGCAACAACGTGCCGCACCTCATTTCCAGCAAAATGAAGACCACGTGAAGAGAAATAGGATCTCTGCTTCAAATTACAGAGAAATGGTTTATACCCTCCAATAAAAAGCTACAACAAAAAATTTGCTGGTTCAGTAAGTACATCAAACAAGAACAGCAGCTATATTTTAGCCAAGAAGCTAACAGCTAATAATTTCAGTAATCTTTCTTTGAAGAAGTGGTTGAAATCAGAAGTCACTTATCAAATAGTTTACAATTCTCCAAGATGCACTACTCAATCTCTGCCTGGTGTCCATTAAGAATTCCACATATGGGGGCTCCTACTTCCTGAAATCTGCAAACCAACCAAGCAATCCTAGGGCCTTCAAAGTTGCAGGCTCTAGTTCCCCCTTCTGATGATCTGTTGCAACCGCAGCCAGTTTTATCAATGAGCCCAAACACGGGGAAACACTCAGCTCACATCAATTATTTAAACATTAACAATTATGTTATCAGGCGTAATATAGGCCAGCATGATTACTGATCTTGTTCCTTTTCCTTGGTGGAAAAGTCTGCTTCTGAAGCATTTCATATTTGAAATTTGGAGAAAGGGAAAATTCTACCTCTCCCCCGCTTCCTGACATTGGCTGGTAAATTGGATTGTTTTCCGCCCATTTAGCTTGGCTGACTACCTAGATCAGCTAAGAGATAGTTGTGTCATGTGATGCACCACTCCCATTCCCCATGGAAGTGAGTTAAATGGTTCCACATGCTGCAGGAGGGAGGGAACGTATTAGAAACTCCCTTAATACCCCTCAGCTATGATGTTATGATTCTGAACCAGCATTTGCTTGAAGATTGGACTTCAACTTCCAGAATGCCAGCAATGATCATATTGGCTGGGGAATTCTGGGAGTTGAACTCCACTCCTCTCAGAGTTGCCTAGGCAGGGAAACACTTTTCTAAACAGAAAAGCCTGCAGTTCTTTGACGTCAAATGCAAAAGGGGGACACCTGGGGAGATGCACACAGCATGTCTATAAATCTGTTTGGTGTACAGTACTGTAAACAGATCTCAGGAAAAGACATAGCAACTGCTCTAAGGAAGTAAAAGCAGTATTACACAAGTACCCTGCCTAGTCCTGAATTTAAAAACTGAACATAACTAAGAAGGGTATTTTAACTGAATGATAATAAACTGCTTCCTTTTTTCTGATAGTGTACCAAGGGAATGGAAATAAGCCAGGAAATTCTGTGGAGTTGGATAATAAGTGTAAAAATAGCCCACTAAGCAAACCCAAAGGTTCTGCTTCCAATGTTCAATGAGAAAGAATAAGCTAACGAAAAGATTCCAGAGATGAGCTCGTTTTCCTTCACAAGGCACAATCATTTATCAAGCCTAAAAATGGAAGACAAAGTTTCAGCCCCATTAGCAGCTGGCAGAGGGAACACAGCATGGATGTTTTATTGGCAAAAGCAAGAATTTTGAACACCAGTCCGGACACAAGGTGTAGAGAGAGGTTGGGAGAATCAGGAACAGGAGTTTAGGCAGGTCCAGTCCCTTGCTGCATCCGCTTCATCAGTTCTTCATCCTGCATTGAGAGTTCTGTCAGTTTCTTGCCCATCCGCTCATGAATGTCCAAATACTTGGAGACACAGCGATCCAGGCACACGGATTCCCCTTTTGACAGTTCTGCTTCCTTGTAGTGTGGAGGAACACATTTACGATGGCAGGCATTGGTCATTCTGTGATTGTGCAAGAAGAAAAGAATTTGAGAAAACAGCTCATTCTTCAGAGTTCTGCATCTGCTTTTCATTCTGATAAAACATTGAAGGCCATCATGCCCACAACTCTAATGGTATCTAAAACATAATGTTTCCTCTAAGAGTTTGACAATCTGTGGTGCAGCTTTGGTTTCTTTAGGATCAAAATTACAGATTGAGCCCTTCTTGATCTACAAATAGTCTAGACCAGGGGTGTCCAACCTTGGCAACTTTAAGACTTGTGGACTTCAACTCCCAGAATTCCTCAGCCAGCAAAGCTGGCTGAGGAATTCTGGGAGTTGAAGTCCACAAGTCTTAAAGTTG